TTTACTTAGTAAAATTTAGAGAATAGAGTGATTGTTTTTAGAGAAAATTTGGTATAAGTGATCGTCAGAAAGAGTTAATGATTTGCGTCTCTAGCTTTACAACTTCTGTTAGAAGCCCAAGAGTGATTTACTTAGTAAAAAAAAAGTTTTAAATAGGGGTGCTGCACATTCGCACTTATAGTAAAATTTATATATAAAAAAAAAATTTTTGTCCAGGTCTCAGGTGGATTGTCTATTAAAAGAAATCTTTTTAGAAAACAATTCACTATCTGATTTAGCTTCGTTAATATAAAGAGGTTTGTTTTGAATATTTTTAAACAGATTCAAAATAGTGTGGCTTTAAGCAGGAATATTTAAAAAGTCTTGTTCATCAGTATTAGCAGTAAATAAGCATGTAGTCATATGCTTAGATAAACCATTTCGATTTGCAAAAGTGCAAGAGCAAAATGTGTATTTAAATTCAGATATTTTTAAAAAGATAAAATTTTTAAAACTAAATAATTTTTAAAACTAAATATTTTGTAAATAAATTTATATTTGAAGCAAATAATTTTAATACATCGAGGATAGAAAACTTTTCATTATATTTATACAGTTTCTAAAAACTATTTATTTCTTTTTTTTAATAAATTTAATTCGTTATATTCGTTATGTTAGTATTTAATAATTCTTACCATTTTTAATAAGATTTTATAAAATTAAATTTATACAAATTATTTCGAATTAAATAAATAAAAAATTAAATTTATTAATAAACTTTAATTTGATTCGAATTATTGTGAACTATTTCTAATTAGAAAAATAAATTTTTATTTTTTATATTCTACAGGTTGAAATAAAGTATATTGGAGTCATATCAGCATTTTCAATCCTAATATAAGCCAGATATTAAACTGAAGTTTAGCAGAAATCATATACTAATAGAAGACCAATCAGGGTTATATCGGCATAAATATATATTGGTTAAACCGATAGCTCTATAGAAATATCAATATAGCTATCAATATTATATCCAATAGCTATATCGATATTTCTATAGAGCTATCAGTTTAATCGATATGTATTTATACCGATATTATCCTATTGGTATCCAATTTCTGCCAAACTTCGGTTTAATATCGGACTCATATAAGGATTGAAAAATGCTAATATAATCCTGAAATACTTTATTTCGACCTGTGTTCGTTACGTTAACATTATTTTTTAATTTAATATAGTATTATTCTATTTAGTAATAGTATAACTGTGCTAATAATCACGTTCGTTACTTAGACAAATAAATTGGATATATTTTCCTTTATGGCGGGTAAGTCTCTCTTTTTATTTATTTCATTTTTGCTTTTTATATGCTACAAGAGACTATTACTAACTATTTCTTATTACATATTTATTTCATACGCATTACAATTAATTCATTTAACTATTTAATCACTACTTCATTTATTATGCCTATTACTAATCGATATTAATTATCCAACTCTGCATTAATTAATTAATTAATTTTCGGGTGCACGATCACGATCGATGGATCGTGATCATGTCACATAAGCATGATAAGTATTCCCTATTTTTCTTCTATTCTATTACCCAGGTACTTACTAATTTACTTTCTAATTTATCTAGGCTACGATTGATTGTTGTCCCTTGCATATAATCGTTGTTGGAACCATTACAACCGGGTTGATTGTCATTACGCAGATTTAGCCTGTTACACTCTTCCCTACCTAAACTAAAACATCTCATTTCAGAGTTCTCCTTTTTAGCCGTTACATTACCTGACTCGTATTTTTCAACTAGCTCCATGGTGTTTTTTAAATTTGATAATGATTCTCACATTGCTTCGTGAAAAGGATATTCCTTTCACTTAATCAAGTATTGTGGCTTCTGATAGTAGGTTCATTTATCCAACACTTCCTTCACTTCGAATTCAGGCTCTGAATTCGGACTTACAAGGAATTCAGGGGGTGGTAGTGGTTCGTTTCTTCCTTCATATTTGTTGGGTATGTAATGTTTCAATAAGGATATATAAAAGACTAGATGAACCTTCATATTTGGGGGTAAGCACAATTTATAAACTGTTGTTGACACTTTCTTTTCAACTTTATATGGGCCAATAAATTTTGGGGCTAGCTTCTTTGAGGCTCATTTTAAATTCGCTGCTGGTATAAGGTTTTGCGTTGAAAGCATAACTTGGTCTCTTTTCTGAAATTCTAGGTACCAAGCTGCATATGTCTTCAGCAGCACATCCACAAACGGATGGACAAACAGAACGGACTAATAGGATATTGGAGGATATGTTACGCATTTATATTAATTACCGCCAAGACAATTGGGACCAGCTGTTATCAGCCGCAGAATTTGTATATAATAATGCTCAACAGTCATCAACTGGGTTTACCCCATT